AGGTCTCTTCTCTTCTTTCTTTCTTCTTTCAAACTGTACTGCGAAACCGAATTGCACCCTCATGATAGCTCCGAAGGGTACAATTACGTGGGTGCCGCTGGTTTCTGCGGACGTCTGGCGAATAAAGCTGATCAAACTTACTGTCAACGGATACCCGATAATCAGCGGAGCTGTGGATGCTGCTGTCGATACTGGGTCGACCAGTATCGTTGGACCACCTGAAGATATTCAGACGGTGAGTTTCAGTGACATGAAGCTGATGCTACTCATCTTCCGTGCATTCAATTCCAGATTCATGGACTGATTGGAGCCAGCGACGATGGAGCGATTGACTGCAGCACTATTCCCGATCTTCCCGCGATCTCTTTCAAATTTGGTGACGTTGAATTCGTCCTTAGAGGATCTGATTACGTTATTCAGGTACTGATGGTTGCGCTTGCGAAGTTCGGTTAGCTAGGTCCCTTATGGTGTTAATGGGACTCACCGGAGCCCGTACAGGCCACCTTCTGAAGAGCTGTCGATCCTTGCAATCGAAGCGGTTGATTGTACGGTTTCGCGATTTCACAAGGGTTCACAGATCTCACCAATGAGACCTGCTACTTGAATAGGAAAAGCATATGGGAAAGCACAAAATGACCCTCCCTAGCTGAACAACGCCAGCTTTTATAATCGGCGAACATCGGCGATACCGCAACTGAGGACTTTCACCCTAAACAAATAACCTTCTCATTGTCAGAAACTGGATATGATAGCTGGTTAAGAACGATAGCGTAGTGCGTCCAGAAAGGCCCTGATCTGGCTCCAAACGCAGAGTATAAACAGCCTTAGGCAGGGCGCCATATTTTATATTAGAAACGATAACACAACTATCATCTACTGAAGGGTCGGTAGGTGTCAGCGCTACTTTAAAATCGTGGCAGAACCCTGCAAGAAGGTGATGTTACAGGGGAGGGAGGGGTTGGGTTTGGAGAGGCACAAGCTCGTCCTCCACCAATAAGGAAGCCAGCCAACGACAAGAATCGGTGAACAACTGGCCGACGTCACGCCAAACCTAGCTCTAGAACCTCGCAACGTCCATAGCGAACAAGTCTGTACGCAGTATTCGCACCAGGGATCAATCCGCTCCACATGGTGTCGGCGCTGCGCTTCTATATTATCTCTAAGGTCAACTTCTACAGAGAAGCCGCCACTGGGGCAGCGTTCAGACTTCGCGATGACACGCTGTAAGGCAGCGTTCAGACTTCGCGACGGCAGCGCCTCGGTCGCGCGTTCGGCGCGATCGATGCGCATGCTTTCTACTGCATCGATCGCGTCGAACGCGCGTTCGAAGCGCTGCCGTCGCGAAGTCTAAACGTTGCCTAACGTACATCTCGTTCGCTAACGCTCACGATTTCGGACAAAAACCGAGTGTCTGCACAAAAAGGCTCATTATCGCTAAAAATTTTAGCTCAACTTGTTCCGTTCGTAATCATTCACTAATGGGTCATTTTTGCAGAACACTGACGATACATGCACGTCTGGTTTCATGGGGCTCGATTTGCATGGCGGTAACATTTTTCTGTTTTGTGCTTTTCAAAAGTGCTATATGATACGATTCCAGTATCATGGATTATTGGCGACACCTTCATTGGCACTTACTACACAGTTTTCGATCATACAAACAAACGTGTTGGATTTGCTAAAGCAGCTCGAAGGCACATTCATAGTCACGGCTAAGGCCGACTGGACAATTGGAGCTGCCCCAGTGTGCTCCTTCTCCTTGCCATTCTGGAGAAACCCATTGATAGTAAACGATTGCAATTATTTAAGCAGGACATACAATCAGCATTGTGTGAAATTCTTGCAAAACACGACCCCCCCCTCCGAATAAGACCAACAGCTGAAATTACGAAAAAGAACTAATTTGAGGGAAGCAAAGCTTCAATATTTGAGACTGAGGCTTCGTTCATACTTTACGACTAGGAAAGTTTGGATACAGATCTATCGTATGCACAGCACAGCATCGTTTGGCG